CGGAACCTATTGTGGTAATTGGAAACTCGAAGGTGTAATATTGTTTTGAACGGTTCTTTCCCAGAATTATCGTTTTTGGACTTGGACTGGACGAGACGCGTGTGAACCTACACCTTTCGGTTTCAGAGCGGACTACAAGCGTAATATCATTACGTACTGACTATATGTAAAAATGATATCTCATCAGAATAATAGTATTATTTTTTATGCCTAAATCATAGTGTGTAACATGGTGTGTTCCAGTGTATAGGGTTCTAACTGACGCATCACGTTTACGCCATTTAGCCGACATAAATATTTTAATACGTCTACGTTTTCAGCAAGTCTTTATATATAGGATACGTACTCAGTTGAGTTCTTGGGGACATGCATATTTCAGGAGCCATTCACGATACGTGTTCAGGAGGGATTTACTTGCAGTGCATTTCTGAAATAGTGCAGATAAGTATATAAGTATTCATTTATTTTCTGCTCCAGTTATAATAAAATAATTGTTATAATAATGCTAATAACTAATAACTCTTAAACAGTAATGGTTGGATAGGGCGTGCCAGTTTACAGACCGGATCAGTTTGTAAGAAACGCTGACATATTCACAGTAATAGATTGTTCAGTTAGATAGATATTTCAAAAGACATTGACCTTTAAGAGAGAGGAATCATATCAGTTGCATACAATTTTAGAAAATGTTTCAAACTACGGAGTATACAATACAATTGTTCTCTACTGAACTAATACATCATCCAAAGCCATTTGATAGGCTCCATCAGTCCCAACATGGAACTTTGTACATTCGTGTATCATTTAAAGTTGCCATAGCCTTTTAGTAGCTGAAGTAGTAAAAATATTGGTGGTATTCAAAAAGTGTATGCAGTTGCGTCACAGCAAGCGATTTTGTTTCAAGGTCTCTAAACATCGGTCATTATCAATTCGCGAACCCAAACCAGCTGGTCTACACCTATCAACATGGCCCGGTCCAGTGTCAGTTGCTTCATGAGTTTGTGCCGAGTTTCGATCGAGCCAGCCACAGATTTCTTCCGGCCTACCCGAAAATCACAAAACATCACTCTTCAGAGCAGTCATTGGTTGGCATGAGTTTTACGAACCTCAACCACATGAACTCATGAAGTTTCAATACTTCATTTGTTCATCTGATATCCGCACCTAGTACTCGTTACCCAACGACACCATTGCCCAATCGGTTGTCCTAGGATGCACAAGCATTGCTTCTGAGACACCGAAGATCGAATACTAATAACGCATGAATATCCTTAATTCCTTCCGGCCATGTTTCGCATCCTATAGTGGTAGGGAGTGAAATGATGCGCAGTAGACTCATAATTTGGTTAGTCGGGACTTCTGTATTTGTGCACAGCTTTCGTCCAAATTCATATCTTCAGCATTGATTGGATTAGCACGCCTAACTACATCATTCCATAATACTGTTTCAGCTGATGACTAGAAATAACAGTACGTGTTCCAAAATCGTTAACACAAATGGTACGAGATGCATCCAGCGGGGGCTAAGGCAGAGTCGAAGAAGAGGCAGTGGCGAGTATCCGTATCTTTCCGAATCCTTATTGTCCAGTTCATTCGGAAAACGCGTAACGGACTTTCTACCAAGATCCAGTGGACGAGAGCTATGAAGGCGCTTAAAGGTTTGACAAGTCACGGCGCTTTCTTGAATCCAATAGCTTAGTAGGGTTTTTGATGAGAATCACTTTAATACGCATCAAAATAATAATAACATCAAAACTAGTGTGCTAGCGAAACTAGGAGACAAGTTCTAAACCGTGTCAGAAGTAATGTGCTAGGTTCTGCAACCATCCATATTCTAGAGAAAAATCTGTCGGTGTTTCCCTGAACAAAGCAAGCACAATATAATTTCCGAAATCCGGTTGCTTTTAATTTTTTCTGTAGGGGATCTTAGAACCTCAAAATATCTTTATTTTGGATATATTTCATGGACTGATCATTTGACCTTGAGACCACATTTACCACCATGAAAATCCTCGACTATGATTAGTTATTGTGTTATTTTAGTGTGCTATTTTTGTGACTGTCCCAAGGGTGTCTCTATGGAGTTGAGTGCTTGGATTCATTGTGAGCTGGCTGTGTGTTTGTAGAATATACTTTCTATGCTTTATCAAGACTTCTTGCTGACCAAGGGGTCACAGTAGCCTACCTGGAAGCTGATTTATTGTTTTGTTCTGGTTATTCGACAAAGGTGAGCATGTAATAGTTTGAAGCATATCTAGAGACGAGCATAACAGTTTCGAACTCGTATTTAACTCTTATATGCCAGTTAACCGCTAAACAGCCTCTGATACTTAAATTTAATCAGTGACCGTCAAACAAGTGAACCGATACGTCGGAACCAACATCAAGCCTCCAGCAAGCTGCAGAGCTAACTTTTGAATTATTACTATTTATATTTTGCTGTCAATGGATCAATTTTTATATATATTCCACTTATTCTAAGCTTTCCTTTTGACTGACTTACCTGATTACTTACGCACCTATGCTTGGTACCCCGAATACAGCAGACACCTCTGACCAGTATTCGCCAACAAACTCCTTCACAAGCGTTCTTTTTAGTTCCGTCAATTTTTGTTCGTTCTTCTCATGTCTGCTTCTGTTTCTCAGATTATTTTGATCCTTTGCCTTCCTTTTTCACTTTGTCATTGAGGTTTTCATCTAAGTTCTTTCTGCATTGTGCGTCGTAAGTACACAGTAGGTTGTTTTTGTTGGTCTCTGACTGTAGAATTTATTTCGCCGGCGGCTGTCCTAATCGCATCCAATAGAAACACACCGGTACGGTTCTCCTAGATACACGCCCCAGCCAAATCAGAAAGCCGAAAATTCTAGGAGAAAACCGTCTCTATTGTTATAAAAAATGGAAATACA